TGATGGGTTTGGTGGGTTGTCGTGGGAGGGCGGGGCACCAAATCAAATGGAGCCTGAGACATGATATAACTTCAAAGCGGGGAATGGTGTTCGCAGCCGCCGCTGTCGGCCCTTTTTTGTTCTGTTTTTCTTTCTGAACCAAAATTCGTCTCTATTTCTATATATAACTGAATGTGGAACCCAGGATAAAGGTATCTTCCAAGTGGTAGTGACGCACGTACAACCGTGAAGGTCCGTGACCCTACGAACGACGTTCTCGAGATCTGTAGATCTTTTCAACGAAAAAACCCTCCGTCTGCTGTGACCAGCGGGCGGGTGAAAGCGTGGATCACTCTCACCTTTCGACCTAGCAAGGCCGATCAAAGTCAGCCACGCTTGGCAATTCCTGGCCACATTGCAACGAGAGCGAAAATTTCTCCGCTAGTGAACGGGCACTCACCACCCCAGGGACCTTCACTCGCAACAGAGCGAATGGCATTCTCACGACACAGCGCCATCATTTCATGAATCTCGTCGTTGCTACACCTTCAATTTTGATCGAGGCAGGCAGATCCGTAGCTTTGAGCGTGAAACGTTTCGTGCTAGCGTGTGCCTGGTCTACCGGGTTGTGCTGCTGCAGGTCAGGGTTCGGGTTGACCGTGATATGCTGTTCGGGGTGCCAGAGCTTTGGACTGCCCCTGTGTTGTACGGGGTGTTCGCCAACAGCGAGGTAGAATCCGTGCTCTGCATGCTTTGAGAGTGCACTACTGCTGGTGTCGTTGACCGCTGCGTTGTGGGCAATGCGGTTTTTTCGTTGGCTAACTCGATACTCAGACGGCGAGCTTTCACCTGAGCCATCACGGGGTCCGGGACAGATGTTCCCAGCGCTAGCTGGAGCACAAAGGCCTGGCGGGTCTGTAGCAAGTTCAGTGGGATATTTAGTCTCCTTCTCTTTTTGTGCTTGTTATCCCTCTTTTTTTAACTTGGTACGTTTCCACGTGGGTTGGTAATCGGCACCCCTCGTTCCGTGGACTATTATATAATAGTATTTTTTCAAGCAACTCTTTCTCCCCATCAGCTGCCCAAGCAACTCTTTTCCCTCGTCAGCCGAGGGATACAACTGCCGTGGGCAACCCTACGGGTCCTGCGCTATTTTGAGCTTGTGCTCTTTCAGGAGAGCCGCATGGTGGCACTCAGCACGGCTGTGGTTGAACCCTCCCTTCGTGTGTTTGCACAAAGGGAAAGCACACTCTTTTGGTTTGCGACGTTTNAAACGTACAATACGGTGAGGGACATGGGCTCACCCGAATGAGCTCCACTCCACGTCCCAGGCTATTCTCGGCAACCTCTCATTTCCCTCATCGTATTGTACTTCTTGGTCCACAGACCCACAGCCCAACATGTACGACCTCACCGGAGTGGTTCACCACAAAAGCAAAACCACCAAGAGCGGGCATTTCATTTCACCTGTGCCCACCTGCCTGGAGAGGGTGGCCTCGATACGACGACGCCAAAGTCACCGAAGTCCAGGACCAACATGTGTTGATGGAGAATGCCTTGATCATGACACACACTAGCCAATCAGATTAATCGAGGTGACGCTCGAGAACAAGGGCAAGAACAGTCCGAGCACTTGCAACAACCAAGACATTAAAACAGTGTCCTGGCGGGACCGCGCCAGTCCGGTGGGGCAAGAGCGAAGGGGCGATTCAACCACATACGTGCCGAGTGCCATCATGCGGCTCTCCTGAAAGAGCACGAGCTCAAGATAGTGCAGAACCCGTAGGGTTGCCCACGGCAGCTGTATCACTCGGCTGACGGGGGGAAAGAGTTGCTTGGAAAAATACTACTGGTCCACGGAACAAGGGGTGCCGAACACCAACCCACGTGGAAACGTACCAAGTTGAGACAAGAGGAATAGCGAGCACCGAAAAAGGCGTGTTCACCCTCTGGTGGGATAGTCAGGAAGCAGATAAGGTGCGCCGGAAAAGAACAGCCGCACCACCACGCACCTGGTAGGCAGCCGTGCGTGATAGGTCAACAGTCGCGTAGGGGATGTCTAGACAGGAGTTCTCCAGTGGCTGCAAGGGTAGACGACATTGCCCCAGTTAGCAGTCGAAAGAGCACCGCAAGCTCTATTCGTTGCTCCAGTTACTGGAAGTCTCAAGTCGAAGCATCGGTCGAAAATTGACTGCCGACAGTAATAGTGAGGAATTTTTCGCGTTCCACATGTCAGCGCTAGCTGGATATCCTGAAAATTCATCCGCGTTGAATGCTGCGTCCGAACGGGTACGCATTCCCGCTAGAATCATCAATCAGTCGGTTGATGGAATTGCAATCGATACAGCGTGTGATGTACCATGCATAATTGCACAATTTTATGCGCCGTCACCAAACCCTGAAAACCACGGAAATTTTTCCCGTGCCTTCCGGAGCAATGAATCCGCGAAGCGCGGATCGCTCACCTCTTGAAAATTAGAATACTAGGCATTTTGGCGGCTTACACCGCCACGCTTAGAGAAGGGATCGGCGTTCGTTGTTAGTTAGTGGGTGGCCGTCTCCCTCTTGTTGGTGTAGTCCAGTTGTCGTTGCCCTTACTTGCGTGCGGTAGTCTGTTGCGACACGGAAGGGGTGCGAAGGGATGCGTCCCGCGCGGAGTCCACAAGTTGGACACGCGCACGGGCGAGCGTAAATGATGCAAAAAGCAAGAAGAAACCATGTAAGCGAACGGCCGTAGGTTCGGAGATGAGGGGGCTCACTGACTGAATGAGCAGGAAACCTCACGGAGTGCTCAACGAAAAGCGAAAAAATACCCTCGAACTGCATCGCACGAAGTGGTACAGTAGGAAAACGGTACATAAGGATCTTAACCCTCCTACTACTCCGTCCCTCCGCAAAAGAAAACTGCCGAAAAACTGTTTGTCAGCCATTGGTCGAGGGGCTACAGTCCCTCCCAAGAATCTGAGCTCCTTGCCAGACAAAGGGTGACTTGGTTTCAGTATGAAACGTTTCCCCTCGCGTTTTGGGGACACTTTTCATACTGAAGCTGAAGCCAAGTCAGCAAATTTTTCCAGTACCATGCGATGTACAGTTTTACTACCTAGGGGGCACGCGGGTTGGGAGATGTGTACAGCAAGTCGGAGGCCCAGGAGCGGCATCACGCAGCATGTCACACAGCTTACGACCTCAGTCAAGCGTGATAGACCAAGGGTTCTCACGTGCGTTGTACACGGCGGAGCCTAGGGTGCCTACAGGGCGGTAAATGGGCATTTGAGTGCTGTGTCCTCAAAGTGTTCCCATTTGGTCTTCCAGCACTATAATAGGAGGGTTAACGACTTGCATCCGTCCCCCCTAGAGTGTTAGCAAGCAGCAACCGCTTTCTCCATCGCCGGGACCAAATTTCGCGAACAAACGAAATGGTTTCTGTCATCACCACGCTTGCTGGCTGAGGCGTCGTCCTTACGTCGTTGATACTACAATAGTATGTACGGACACCAAAGAGAGTGCTGAAAAGCGCGGATCAGATGCTGCACAAACTTCACTAGGAAATGAATGCTCGGACGACCACTGACCGCCTGACCGACTCCTACAAATACTTCCACATGAAATCATCCACCTTGCAACAACGATGCTGTTTGGTAGCTGCACTGCTGTGAGCTCTAGACATATATTCATTCGCCGTTGCATATTTATGTGCAACAACTCGGGAGATTGTAGAGAGCGATATAGACCATAGCGAGACAAAGCGAGAACTACTGCTACTAAACACTACTGTTTACTGCTCTATAATGCACAGCGTGTTATTTTGTACAGCTGAGAGAGCGTAATCATCAGAACGAAATCCGAAATGAAGAAGAAAGGTGGTCTCTAATGAGCAAAGAATCGGACTGCTGTGTGCCGGGGATGTGTAAGCTGAGGAGAGAGAGAGACGGACACAGAGAAAGGGAAAGAGACAGACAGACAGACAGACAGACAGCGAGGGAGACAAGAGACAGTCTACAGAGCGAGAGAGACTTCGTGTGTACTACGCGGCGATGTGCTGTGGAGCGAGCGTGCGATCGAGCAACCGGAACGAAAAACATCCAGATCATAACTCTAAATCCAAGTGAAAAATGATGGCAGAAATGGCGAGCTGTTAGCGACCGAAAATTAAGAATGGTGGCTTGTCAGCGGCCGAGAATTCGGAATGCTGGCCGGAGAGCGGCCCCCTAGAAATGTGGCGCTTTGAAAATGGAGAGTTCCTGGCCGAAACACAAAAATGTGCATGTTGTATACGTTTTAAACTAACCATGGGAGAAACAACAATTCCTGTCGAAGCACTAGTGTTGCCCTCGTTGGGACCCGATAACATGTTGCCCGACACTATATAGTAGTATCATGGCGACATCGGGCATGTGCGGTTCCCTTCGTTGTAATGTAACGCGTGTTTTTTCAAAACGGCAGCGATGAGGAGGGGGAAACAATCATATTCACGAGCTGTGTCATAAAACCAGGAACCAGGAATAACCCAAATCAATTTCCACTGGCATTCCCTCGTTCACTTGAGAATGAGCGCCAACCATTTCTTTTTCATAAATATGGACTTTCGGCGAACAAAAAGAGGGGCAATGTGCAAACCAGGATATAGGTATCCTCCAAGTGGTAGTGACGCACATACAACCGTGAAGATCCGTGACCCTACGAACGACGTTCTCGAGGTCTGAAGATATTTTCGACGAAAAGATCTTCCGTCTACTGGGACCAGAAAGCGAGGCTCACTCTCACCTGTCAATCTAACAAGGCAGACTAAATTTAGCCACGCTTGGCAATTCCAGGCCACATTGCAACAAGAGCGAAACTACCTCCGCTGGTGAGCGGTTACTCACCACTTCAAGGACCCTTTCTCACAGCAGAGCAAAGGGCATTCTCACGATTGCCAAGTTTCACCGAAAGGATAAAAGGAAGGTGTGCTGTTGTTGAGAAACTTACCATTTCGGCTTCATGTTGGCGGGTCATGGGAATTTTCGCAGGAGATCCACGCGATGCAGGTGCAGCTTTCGGAAGAGCCTCTCCAAGGAGGGGAAGCGCCAGCACCATACGGGCAGCGAGCACGGGTCACGCCCGGACGCTTGGCATTCGTGATCCGAGAACAGATGAAGACTTTCAACCAGGTGCGGGTGTGCCGGTAGTCTAGCAGCGGCGCTGCATCGGGGAGCGGTGCTCCGCAGCGCTGGCTTCGTTCGCCACGGCTCTGCCCTGCTGCGGCTTCGGACCGGCTGTGCGCTGCGAGCTTGGTATTCGTTTGTTTTCTGTCTGCTGCGTGCGACGGTTTTTGGCTCCCCGCCAGCAAACACGGCAGCATAACGTTTTAATGACGTTCGTACGTACGTATGCATACATCACACCGACGAATTGCAAGACTCAACTCCGGTGTTATTTCGTTATTGCCGACACTGCTGTTGTGCTGAACCTGCCCGGTGCTGCCGCCCCCGTGTGCGTAACACCCAAACGTTCCCGCAGGATAGTTCAACGCCCCCCCCCCCCCCCCCCCCCCCCCCCCCCCCCCCCCCCCCCCCCCCCCCCCCCCCCCCCCCCNGTCATGCTTCCGCGGGCCCCCCTCTCCTCGAAAAACAATGTAGATCGCCGGCCATGCCGCCGTCGTGCACGAAAAGGTGGAAGTCTTGCGGCAGCAGTACAAGCTCAAGTACAAGGACGACCCGTTCCAGGCGGCGGAGCGACAAGCGCGAGCGGCGGAGCGCCACCTCCACAAGCAGATGCGCGACCAGGCCCCGCAGCATCAGCAGCAGCCGGTGGGCCCCGCCCCGGCCCCCCTAGCGATCGCCACCGCCGCCGCCCCGGCGGCGCCAGCGGCGGCATCGGCGTTCGGGGGGGGAGCTTTCGGAGCCGCTCCCGCTCCCACTGCAGGAGGTTTGTTCGGCGGTGCCGCCCCGGCACCGGCAGCCGGCGGCGGTCTGTTCGGCGCGCCGGCTGCGGCGCCGGCACCAGCGACCGGTGGTCTGTTTGGCACTCCCGCGGCAGCAGCCCCCGCCCCCGCCGCCGGAGGGTTCAGCTTCGGCGCCCCGGCGGCTGCCGCCCCCGCCCCCGCCGCCGGAGGGTTCGGCTTCGGTGCTGCCCCCGCTCCCACCCCCGCCCCTGCCCCCGCCGGCGGCGGTCTGTTCGGCAGCGCGACCGGGTTCGGCACTACTCCGGCGCCGGCTCCTGCGGCGGGCGGGGGGCTGTTCGGGTCGACTGGTGCCGCGTTCGGGTCGACTGGTACCGCGTTCGGGGCGCCGGCACCGGCGCCGGCGGCAACGCCTGCCCCGGCCCCGGCGCCGGCGACGACGATGACGACCAAGAAGAAGAACAAGGGCAGAGGACGGAGAAGTCACTACTAGTGTTGTAATAGTTGCGGAAGGCCTCAGACGGGGGAGGACGCATGGGGGTCGGCAGCGAGAGTGGGGCATCTATTACGTGCTCTGCTCTTTTGGTAGCCGAGTGGTGTGGCAGGAGGATTGTGTTTTGTGAGCCGATTCTGGCTGCTGGAGACAACAGTTTTCGTGCTTGCGTGGATGCGGAACACGCGCAAGCCTGGCGAGAGGGGGGTGGGTTGGCTAATCCACAGTTTGGTGGGGCACATGGGGCGTGTGGTTGGGTTGTTGACGCCAGTTGTATTGTTTTCCGTTTTTTCGTGTCGAATCCGTTACTTGCTGGTTCCGGCAGTGTGGAATACGTCGTCGTCCGATTTTGCTCTAGATTTAGTATTTTCAGTTCTTCTCGTCCGTGAGTTTTACTTGTGTTGTGTAAAATATACTTCATAAAGGATTCCCGGGGGATATGCTCCCAAATTGGCCGCGTGTGATTTTCCACCGGAAGTGTCCGTAATGGTGGAAGTATGTTGCCGCTCATTTTTCAACGTTGCAATTGTTGTTCATCACTCGGTGCGGTGACAGCGACGACCGTAGTTACCATTTGACTTTTGACTTCGGTCACCTTCAGTACTGGCACTGGAGCTGAAGGTATCACGCGTGTCTGCGGGCGCCCTTTCGGTTGGTTGCTGACGTGTGATTCGTCGCTGGTTTGTGACTCTTTTCGGTTCATCTCACTGTTTAGTAACATAGCTGGGTTGCTTTCGTTTGTTCCAGATTTACCTCGGGGCTGGGCATCGCATCTGTTGTATGCATGCCGCCGTCAAAGGTTCCAACTACCATAAGCTGCGAGGTTTTGTGTTTCTCGGCATTCTCCGTCCGTTGATATTGCCGACAACTCTTGGTTATGTGACGATGCTCATCTATACAGGGGCCTTCTGTTGGCAATACTGGTAGCGTTTTGCCCGTCTGAAATAGAGATATTTGTCTGAACTGCAACTGTTGGCGAACAATCACACGGCACTGTTGCCCAAATATCCTGTTTCTACTCCTCGATCGTCTAGGGTGCCCCTCGTCCGGCCGTGCACCTTCTCTTGACCTAAGTCAATTTTTATGGCTTAAGTTTATTTTGCAGAGGGATGGCGTGCTCTGTGGCCGACTATGATACGGAGACAGATGCCAAAGGTGTTTGTGAGCTTCACTCCTGACGCTTTGCCCCCAGCACCACAGTCGTTTTACGATGGTATATAGTGATCAAAACCGTCTCTCACGCTCCAGTGGGGGCACCCGCTGCCTGGTAGGCAGACCACTGCTGATGTGGGTACATCGGGACTCGCGTTGATGCACCTTCTCCGACCCTCTTGTACGAATGAGGGATGGGTTGTTGTTAGGCTCCACGGGGGATGGCCCCCATCTATCGAAAACGAAGCGGGCGACAAAGCAGAACGCTCAACCGCCTACCGGCGTTAGAAGTCTTGCTCTCGGGACCAAACTCTTGTGAGGAAAACTACGAGGCCGCACTTGTTTGGTCCCGGTTCTCGCGGGCGGGGTTGTGGCCAAGTAGAGACGGTGATAAACAAGAACATTCCTGGCATGTGTCCGGCTCAGATGAACTGTCTGGTCAAAACGAAGATAGACAGTAGACGAAGGGTTCGTTGCTGTCAAACCGATGATGAGCTGGCCTTGGGCATATACGCTTGAGCGACTTCTTTTGCGGCACAACAGGGCTGCATGCACCCGAACCGAATCCCATGTCGTTGGTCCAGCTTCCATCATGCGGCAGCCAAGCCTATTAGATAAAAACAAACTGCCGTTGCCTCCTGATGGAGGCAACCCACTATGTCACAGGCCGAAAACGCTGCTGCTGATACGTATCCCTCCTGAACAACTGAGGATGAACACGCTGACTTTCGTATGCCCCAACCCCCCCCCCCCCCCCCCCCCCNCCTGTGGTTGCAGTGATGGTTGGGAACGCTTCTTTAATGTAAGCCTTCCAATTTACTCTGCGTCCCTAGCAGATGCCGAACGCGGGGTTGAGCGGCGGAAAACGCCAAAAACACACAGAAACCAATCGCCTGAGCAAAATCGGGCCCAACAAAGCTTGACACCCGCAAGGCCACGCGCCAAGTTTTCGGAGAATCAAACGGTGTGTGCAACAAACCTCGACACCCCAAGGCCACGCTCCAGGTTATCCGGAATATCAAACGGTGTGCGTGGCGTACTGCTGGACAAAACAAAAACGGAACCCCTACCCCCCCTCTTCCTGCTGCCTCATCTCCCCCCGCCAGTAAGAAACAAAGGTTCTCACGCCTGCTGCATTTCGCGAGACTTAAGGCCCTCCGGTACGCTGTATACGATGTGGCACACTTCGTGTACGAGAAGGTCGCCGACGACCTTCTTGTTCTTAGAGTAGTCGTCGCTGCAGATTAACGTAGGGGTAGCGGAAGGAGCGAGGCAGAGAGGGAAGGAGGGTGGGTGTGTGTATTTGGTAAGGTCCGGGGTAGGCGATAAATACCACATACCACATGTAGTTTCGTCCGTATCAAACACGCTGCTTTAGAGAGAGAGAGAGAGAGAGAGAGAGAGAGAGAGAGAGAGAGAGAGAGAGANGAGAGAGAGAGAGAGAGAGAGAGCGAAACATGTGGGCGAGCTTAGGAATATAATCCCACAACAAACAAGCCGAAACGTTGTTTATACAATTTTCTGTCGCAAGCAGCGGCGCCTGCGCGACGAGGGAACATAGCATGCCGGCTCATGCCGCGAATCTATCCTTGTCTACAAAAAGCCCTAGGTGGTCGACTTTGGAGCTCTGGAGACAGCGGTATATGCAAGCACACGAAACACGCCACTGCTACACCCTCCTTCATGAAAATATTCCCAAGTAAGGCAGCCCTCATCCGATGCTGTGGGAGGAAAACACTCACGTCATACTCTGGATCGCAGCTTCGGTTTGTGCGCCTAGCGTGTCCCCTTCCTTTCCCGTTGACCCCATTGACTGAAAAAAAAAGGACAGCAAACAAGGGCCGAGGAAATATTGTCATTGTTTCAACACACGGAGAATAGTCGAAGAAACAACCACATACCCTTCGATTGTTTACTCCTCAGTAGCGAAGGTCTTCAATGACGGACACCACACAAAAGCCAACCGCGGGGAGGCGGCACGAGAGGAATACATTTGTCGAAGTTGGGATAGACTAGTGTTGGGACATGCGGTACTGATGTTTCTCGGTGGTCAAGGCATACTTCAGCCAGCGCACGAAATCGTTTCAGGAGGGGTCAACCTCCCCAGACACCAAAGCTGCAACAACACCAAAATAGTGCTGTCGCGACGAACATGGCATTCATTAACGGGCGGTGGAATTAACATCGAACACACCCCGCAAGGAAAACAAGGGGGAGAGAGGCCCACCTACGGCGAGACCCATCTGTCATGCCACGAACCACGAGGGCGTTAACCTCCGGTATGTAGAGCATTACCCGCTGGAGCGCAACTCTTGATCCCACTTACGGCAGTGTACACCGCTACCCGCCCTATCCGCAGCCATGAACAACGCAAGCGTCAACGGTCGGAGAAAGTTGGCGTGCTGATCACGCGTCTGCATTGCGGGGTACGCTTGAATGCCCCCCCCAAACCCCGAAAACTTGAAAAAAATATGCAACAACGACAACAAAATATTCTGCTACCCCCTTGATTCTACTCTTTATCTCCATGGTTATTAGTCCACCGTACTTCGGTGCATCACGTTGTGTGCTTGCTCCATCGTGTGGATCGTAATCGTTATAAATCTTGTGGGTCGGTCACCTTCTGCATGCTAGCCTGGTAAGCCGCCTCCTTCTCCGCTCGGAAGGCGTTGCAGAGGGCCTCGGCCTCCTTTTTGGCCTCCTTCATGCGCTTTGATCGCGCTGCACGACATCGGGTGGGCGCATCGGGGG